ATCTGGAGCTAGCAGCCATTGTCTTTGCTTTAAAGATATGGCGACATTATCTTTATGGGGAAAGATGTTATATCTTTACCGACCATAAAAGTCTGAGATATCTTCCGACCCAGAAAGATCTAAATTTGAGGCAAAGGCGCTGGCTAGAGTTAATCAAGGATTACGATTGTGTAATCGATTATCACCCGGGGAAAGCTAATGTTGTAGCAGATGCTTTGAGCCGAAAAACTCTAGCTGAATTGCATCTCAAACCTTCACTTCAAGAGGAAATCCTAGCAGCTCAGAAGTGTGATGATCAATGTATTAAGATAGCGGAAACCATTTCTAAGGGGGAGAGACCGGATTTCTCCAAACAGAGTAATGGTGGATTATACTTTCAAGGCCGTTTAGTTGTTCCCAATGGGGAAATCAAACAAAGAATTCTTCGTGAGGCACATGAAACAAAATACTCAATGCATCCGGGTAGTAACAAAATGTTCAGTGACTTGAAGGCTCTTTATTGGTGGTCTGGTATGAAACGTGATATCACTGACTTTACTTCTAAGTGTCTCATTTGCCAACAGGTAAAAGCCGAACACCAATTTCCGTCTGGATTGTTACAACCTATTACAATACCGGAATGGAAATGGGATCGAGTAACCATGGATTTCGTGGTAGGATTACCATTGACCCCAAAGAAGAATGACTCAGTTTGGATAACAGTGGACCGACTTACTAAATCAGCTCATTTCATACCCGTTCGAAGGGATTTCTCCTTAAATAAATTGGCCGAACTGTATATTCAGGAAATAGTTCGACTACATGGGATACCCCTGTCCATCATATCTGATAGAGATCCAAGGTTCACTTCTCAGTTCTGGGGAAACTTACAAAAGGCACTTGGTACGAAATTGAACTTTAGCACGGCCTTTCATCCACAGACAGATGGCCAATCTGAAAGAGTTATTCAAATTCTTGAGGATATGATGCGAGGTTGTGCAATTGAGTTCAAGGGAAGTTGGGAGAAATACATACCTCTTATGGAGTTCGCATACAATAATAGCTACCAAGCTACCATTCAAATGGCACCATATGAAGCTTTGTATGGTCGGAAATGTAGAACTCCAGTCTGTTGGACAGAGCTAAGTGAAAGAAAGATCATTGGGCCCGATATGATTCAAGAGACAGAAGAAAAGATCAAACTGATTCAAGAGCGACTTAAGAAAGCATCGGATAGACAAAAATCATATGCCGATCTGAAGCGTCGTGATATCGAGTAATAAGGAAAATCAAAATGAATTAAGTAAACTCACTAAGTTAAATGTGTAAGTCGTTTTATATATGTACGGTTGTGATATATTTTAAAATTAAGTAATTCCATTTTTATTCAGATAGTAAATTAGTAATACGGAGTAAGCTAAGACAGATATGCATCAAATAAGTTAGATTACAATTTTTAAATGCTAGCAATACATCCTGCATGTGAGAGAGTATAATATATGACCATGCATGACGTGCACTAAAGTTAAACGTGTCTTACGTATGCATTGGCGTTTATATAATTTTATTAATTAAGATTTTTAACAGGTGGTGCTACAACATACCAAATCGACATATCTATATGTTTAGAACTTAATTTACGTACTAAATGTTTAGATGTATGCACTAGCTAACGGATGGCTTAAAAGGTTCGAATGGTCGGAGTGTCAGACTGTATATTTTAATTAGTTATTTAACGAAGGTTTGCTATGTAAAGTTTAAATATGACATCGTGAACTCTCAACTAGATTAAGGGAATATGTTTTTTTTAAAAGCCTTGCTCTTGGTTCGACACTCTGACTTGAATACTCCTGTTCTGTTTAGTGTACTATGTACACTCCTGAAATTCTGTTTAGAGGAACTAGTGCTCTCCTGTTTAGTGTACTCCGTACACTCCTGAAATATTTTTTTTAAGCACTATTACTCTCCTGTTAAGGTTCGGGTCTCTTCGGTGATCTCGTCCTTTCTATTCAGCTAGCTTCTTTTAGGGATTGGTACGTCTAGCTCCGGCGATTACGTTTCCATATCCTTTCTAGGTAAAGTGGGTACGGACTTCGTGACCGTATTCCTTACCGTTAGTATTCCTCGGTCTAGGTCCAGATCCTTGAGTTCAAGGCTAAATGAATATGTTCTTATTATTATAAGTTTCAGAATAAGAATTTTCTGATAATTATGATATCTGAATATGTTTCTATCTGTACAAAACAATAAAAATAAATAATAATAATTATAATAATAATAATAATAATAATAATCATAATAATAATTTCAGAAGAAAAATATTTTGATAATTATGATATTTGAATATGTTTCTGTTATGTATATAAATATCTGTATTCTTACAGCAGCTGCTCGGATCACCCAGGTATGTTATATACTTGTGTGACTAGATGCTAATTTTGACATGTTTATATGTGCCCTGATATGTTAATATTATTGTTATTGTTATTACCGTACCACTCAGCACATTGCTGAGCGGGTAGTTGTTTGTTTTCCTACCCGTAGGTTAAGCACGGAATCCGCTAGGAGCACTGGGATGGAAGGAGGCGTAGGACTAGTGCATGTCATTGTGTGTGATGTTTTTAATCAGGACTTTTAAATGTCATCTTCAGTTTCTAAGAACTTCCGCTGCAGTTTTAAAAGTATTTTGTGTTGTTTACGTTATGTATATTTAATAACATTCTGCTCCCTGTGAATTTGACATTTTCAGTATTAAATAATGAAGTTATTTTTGGAATTAATACGCTTTATTTTAATTACTAAAATCTCTTATTATGAATTAATCTTTTTTTAAAAAAAAAACTGATTTTCTTGAATTAATAAAAATAGTTTTAAAAACAATTTCTATTTATTTTTCCGCAAAGTGATGCGCCGCCCGGGTCGGCGGGTTCGGACCGGGTGGGGGTGCTACATATGTTTATAGAGAATGACTATATTTTGGAGGCGCATAATGTGGAGCATTTGACAAATTTTTATGTTTTTTATGCGACTTATGATACTGTTAGTATAAATCAAGGAGGTGTAGGTGATCTGAAGGATGCAGGGATCTGAAGGTTTCAACCAGACTTGGGTCAAAGTGAATTTCAAGCATTTATAGTTGCAAATGTAGGCGATTCTCGTTGTGTCCTATCTAGGAAGAATCAGGCACTTGAGTTATCAAGAGATCACAAGCCAAATCTTGAAGATGAATCTGAGGGAGAGGTGAAACACTTGCAACTATCTGCCCTAAGCAAAGAGGGACTTATATTCCCTAGAACCTGCAAGGTACAAGGAGAGCTATAGATTCTGATATTGCCGAAGTCTGGGGCCACTCTTAATCTCATATCTCAGAAATTGATAGAGGTGGTGCAGAGGTACTATAAAGTAGCAGTGAGGTTTCAAGTCGAGATGGGGAAGGGAGAGCAATTATCTCTGCAGAGCAGTTGTGAGGTACTACAGACTTGGGTACGAAATTCAGTGATGAGTGAGGATTTCTATTTGTTAGACCTTGGAGAGATTTATGTGATTCTGGGAATGGGACCGCTAGCCGATCAGGGAAAGTCAGAGAAATATTTCTGGAAACATAGCATAAAGTGGTTGGGAGATGGGCCAGAGATGCAGTTGCTGAAAGATTTTAAACTCTGCAACATTATGGAGCAGGATGCAACAAAGTCCTTGCCTCTGCCCTTTCTTGCTATGCTCTTTCTGGCTATGAAAGGAGTGATGGTGAAGGTTCAAATCAGGAAGCTATGGGTTCAGAAATCTGTGATGTACTAGGAAGGGAGAGGCGCCAGGATGAAGATGAATTTGAAGATCAAGGCTGTTTCCTATCACCCACCTTGAGGACAAGGTGGTTGTCTAAGGGGGAGATATGATACGAACCCATTAGTATAATAATACTAATAATAATAGAAGTATATTAAATAATTGTGATAGTGTATTAAAGGGTCCTGGGCCAGGTATTAGTTAGTTTTGGGCTGGCCCATAAGTAAGTATAAATAGAAGGGAGGGAGAAATAAGAAGGTAGGCAGATTTTGGATTTGGGATTAGGACCGGGAGAGACGAGGCACTCTCGAACTTGCCTCAACTGTATTGTTACTTCCTGTTTCTTCAATTTCAGTTTTCATATTTCAGCAAATTCATCATCAGATTTCTGAGTTCCTATTAGAAATCACCACTTGCATCATAAGCACACAATTTCTTTAGCTATGATTACTACAGTAAATGCATTATGAATGTAAAACATAAGAAAAGCACGACCAGGAAATTCATTAGTAAACAGAGTAACAGTTAGAATATCAAGCTTCTATTAGACTATTACTCGAAAGAAGAAAATGAAAAGGCTTAAAATCATCCCTGTCAAATCTTCGACTAGAATCAGTAAGACTTATCGGGAAGACAAACCTTTTATTCCAGGGATACTTCCCAATCATCAACAAACGGTAATTCTTTGGCCTTAAAAACCAATTGATGAAAAAACTTGTCATGATTGCATTACAATAGAAGACCAATTACTTAGAATATATGATAATAATTCATTATTCTTAGCAAAATGGTTTATGCATCAGTAATCTAAGTTAGTGTGGTAGAAAGGTTGAATTGGTGTGTGGTTTAATGAAAGATTTCACAATGTTAACATACTCCATCAAGCAAAATAAATTCCAAAACAATGTCAATTCAATCTTATGTCCCACTATCTTTTGTGCACGAGGAAGTGACACATATTAAGGAAATGAAATCATGTGAATGATATTGAATCTGTAAAGTATGAATGAGTGTAAACTACACAAGACATATTGCAGAGACAAACTAACTAGGAAGGATGAAAGATGAGACAAAAATAGTGGCACGTAAGGGGGCTAATATCATAGGGAGTAATAATACAATATATCTGACATAGAATGAAATACACAAACCACAAAATGAAGCATGAGTAGTGAAAACTGACACACTAAAGGGCATATGAACTTCTCAAAGGTATAAAAAGATACAGATCAACTTACTTTTTGGAAGATGGGATACTCAGCACTGAATCGAGTGCAGGCAAATGCTTGTGCTTCCTCACTAGATCCAGGCTCTTGCTTCAGAAATTGATTGCAGGGGAATGCTAGTATTTCTAATCCTGAACTCAATTAACAAGTGTGATGACAAAAAATAGCTTATCACTTTTATCTTATGCACAAAGTTAAAAAGATTCAAACACTATAGTAGAATATAACACACACACAAAACTGAAGTGGGTGAATTGAATCACCTTTATCCTTGTATTTGGTGTATAACTGAGTCTCGTAGTTAGAGGTCGTGAATCCACTGGTAAAGCACACATACATAAAATATCAATATATCAATCAAAAAATGCTCAAGTGTGAAAAAATGAGTGAGAGAGAACCATTTGGAGGTAACATTCACGATAAGAAGCACTTTTCCTTTGTAACCGCTGAGATTTACATCATTACCTTTGCTATCCTATAATTCGAAAATAAATAGAAAAAATATTAGACAAGACAGACGAGGATTGGGATTTCAATTCTAAGTGTGTACAATGAAGAAGAAGATCTTGACAGTAAACTCATGAAGCGACTTTTCTGAAACGGTGAGGGAAGCGCCCATGTTTTGATATTCACCGGTATCTTCTACCTTCATGGCGGCGATAGGAGGCGGATGAGCAAATGAGAGACAACTGTGAAGCCGAAATGTGTCTCTCCGGGATTTTGGTGTTGACTCTCCATGACCTTTTATTAATAATTCAATTTATAATTTATATTAGCTTTTGGCAGAATGTTTTGCGAATATTGCTGCCAATTTTATGGAAATTTTAAGGAAAATTTGTCACAAATTTATTTACAAAAGCAACATCTCATGTCAATCAATGCTAAAGTTATACAGAGTGTTTTTTATGATAATTAAAATTTAGATATTCATACATTACACTAAAATCTCTTTAAATTTGCAAACTCTAGATTAGAATATAATCAAAAATTGATATCTTAATTACGTGAATAAAATGAAACAAAAGACATACTTTAAAATGGATGTATTAATATATATTACCTCGGTACAAGATTCTCACTTCTCATTTTCCTTTTCAAGATATCTCGGAATCAATTTATTATTTATCCTTTTAGTAATAGTTAAATATTAAAACATATTACCAATTATTAATCTTCTCTACTATTCATTTTCAGAAAAATATATTTAGAAAATAAAGAAAAAATAGTTTTAGCAATATTTTATAAATTCAAACTAGTAATTTAATTATGGGTATATTTGGAACAATTATGTTGAAAAGATATTAAAAGAAAAAAGTTCTAATTGTTTGATAAAAACGTTAATATTTTTAAATTCTTTTGGAAATAAGGCTTAGATATTGTTGTTATTGTAGGTTTGTAGTACAACAAGTTGTTGTGACTAAAAGTTACAAGAGACTTTTTGTCAAATGATATTCTGTGTAACTTCTCAAAAAGATCATAATAACTGCGTATAAAATATGGCATGTCAATGATGGAGTATATGGCCCAAGGACCCCCCGGCCCACATACTTCCTCTACTACAATCAGGCCCAAAAGGCCCAAATGGGCCAAGCCCAGCAAAATGGAGCTCTAAGCATCCCACAATACGCAAAGGGGTGCCTTCGGCCCCATGGCCGAAGGCTACCAGTGACAGGAATCGAGCTCAGAAACATCACAGGAGAACAAGGCTTGAAAACCAAGCCTTCGGCAACTGCAGCCCTCGGCAAGTAGGAGCCCTCGGTTAGAAGAGGCATCACAGGAGAACAAGGCTTGAAAACCAAGCCTTCGGCACCTGCAGCCCTCGGCTAGAAGAGCCTTCGGCCCAGCACCCTTCAGCCGAAGGCATCCACCTTGATGGATAGTCTACCCGGGGGTATATATCCGAAGGGTTATTACGGGGAATAACTTAGAGAGAAGTCAGAGCAAGTAAGTAAAAGTAGAGAGAGAGTGTATTCAGTATGAGTGCCGTTTTCAGCGTGGTTACAAATGAGGAAATGGGGTGCTATTTATAGTAGCAATAAATGCCGGGCAGGGACACGTGTCAAGCGCTCATTGGCCGAGGGGTCACCTCAACTGGTTGGCGCTGGCAGCCGCATGTGGCCGCATTTAATGCGGCTGTTGGACGGGATGTCTGTGCGGGGTACGGTGATCTGTACGCATGTGAGGCGGATATCTTGTCGAGTGAGATGCCTTCGGCTATAGAGCAGTAGCCGAGGGCTCCTCCAACCGATGGCATCCTGGTGCCGAGGGCTCACAATGCCGAGGGCTACTGTTTTCACCGTTTTCTCCCAGTTTCTTAATTTGCTTGAGAAACCCGTTCTGTGAGGATTTAGAGCCTCCGGCCAGGGGTCCGAAGGCACCCCTGGCGCGTAGTGCGGGCTGCTTGGTACTCTGGGCGCTGTGATTTGGGCCTGCTGGGCCTTCTGGGCCTGTTGGGCCTTCGCTGGAGTAGTAGGAGTCTGTGGGCCGGGGGTTCCCGGGCCATATACTCCATCAGGAGTCCCTCTCTCCTTTTGCCGAAAGGTACTTGAGGGAAAAGGAGTAATTTGTGCTTGCCCTTTGATGTTGTCCCGTCATGATCTCTGAAGTTGGTGAGGAGTTGTTGCTTTTATGTCCCTGCCGAAGGCAGTCCCTCAGTTACCCACATGTCGGGACTTGAGGGCTTGCCTTGTCGTTTGTTGGAATTTCACAGATTTTGTAATTTAATGATTTTCCCGAGGGGGTCCTCCAGTCCCCCACTCCTTGAGGCACTTGTAAAGTGGTGAAAAGGAGTAAAGTAGTTACGTTGCTGTTGTGGGCCGAAGGTTGACGCTTTTCGTTTCATTTTGGGGGGATGCCTCGTTAAAAACCTCATTAGAAAAAACCCTGGGGGAAAAAATCCTAATGAGGGAAAAAGAGTGCACCGAATTCCCCCAATGATGAATCGAAAATGTCAAACCTTGGTCAAAAATGGAGAATAACGGTAATGCCGAAGGCTCTTCTTTTTCTGAGGGCTCATGTATTGATCAGTCGAAGGCTTGCCGTTGATATCCTGGGGATGCCGAAGGGGAGCCCCTCAATCCGGGGATCGAGGGCCTGCTGGATGAGGGCGGCAACGGAGTTGTTACCGGGGGGTCCACTGTTTGTTGATTAGTTGGTGATGAAGATACCCGAGGGCTCCCATTACTTGTGTGCGACGGGTTATCCGTCAATGAAGGCAACTCCCCGGGGGCTACCCGGTTTTGCAGTGCTGAGGGGGAATTCCCGAGGGGTGCCCTGATATGAAGCCTTGGGTTTCTGAAGGAGTGATCCCGAAGGCGTCTGTTATGTGCTGTGTGGGGCACACCCTGGGGGCACTTCTGAGTGAGTGCACCCGGAGGCTATCCTTGATGAAGTGGAGTGAAGTAGAAAACCCGGGGGCTTCCAGAATATAGCCGTTGGAAATATAGCCGTTGGAATATGTAACGACAGGATATAGCCGTTGGGGGGGGTGGCACACGTGGCGTGTGATGGCTGGCTGTTCGTGGGCGGCGTCACCGGTTGGGTGAAACGACGGTGTGTAATGATGACGGTCCGTCCGGAGGCCCGGTTTCCGGGCCCAAGCCCGGATTCCAGCGCCTATAAATACCCCAAGGCCAGAACCATTTCCCCTTGTGCGATCATTTTGTCTTAGCGAAGCTCTGCCCAAAATTCTAGTGAGAGAAAATCAGGCCTTCGGTCGAAACTTCTGCTTTCAAGGTCAGTGCCCGCTTTCCCTTCACCTCTTAGCTACCTGTACTGTGCCCTTAGGTTAGGAGATAGAAAAGTTAGGAAACACTAGCGTCTACGAGCCCTCGAACTAGAGTGTGAATGTCGTCCCAGAGTGATTCTCAAGATATCTCGAGGACGCCCTCGATGGAGGACGAAGGCATCTCCGACGTGGAGTCCAGCAGTGGTCAGCCCTCGGATGGTGGTGATGTAGCCCTCGCCACTGAGGTGCAGAAGGATCTGATGGCCGAGGCCGAGGCGGAGGAATTCGAGCGAACTGCCGAGGATGAAGAGTTGGCCCTCGCCGTCCAAGTTGCTGAAGAGGAGGAGGAAAAGGAGAGGGCGAAGGTCACTGTGGCCGTCCTTCCCCCTCGGGGTGCTGGTGAGGCCAGTACTTCCCAGCCGCTGAATGCAGTTCCCATCCGGGTGGCCCCGGGAAGAAGAAGGCCAAGGCAGCTGTCCCCAAGAAGAAGGTTATTGCTGCTGATCAGGGGAAACCCGTAGATATGCCGGAGGGGTATTCCTGGCTCAACACGGTTGCCTTGGAGATAAAGTCAAAGGCGGACAGGGCGGACCTCTACGTGACGCAGCTACATGTAGGGCCCTCGGCCGTGGTGGTCGAGCCGGGAGTTGACGACGTGCTCTCTCGGGCGCCTGAGGGGTGCATTGCAGTACACGTACTGTCGGTCTCCATGGGCCTTCGGTTCCCTCTGCACCCCTTCCTCCGGGAGTACCTGAGGTTTGTTGGCTTGGTACCCTGCCAGCTGACACCTAATAGCCACTCCTACGTGGCGGGTTTTTTAAACCTCTGTAGGGACCGAGGGGTGACCCCCAGCCTGGACTTGTTCTTCCAGAGCTTCAACCTCTGTCGAGGGGGTCACGCGAATGCCGAGGGCTTCGCCAACCTGCAGTAGGTGGCCAGGTGGAAGCTGTTTACGGAGGCGCCTTCGTCCAATAAGGGCTGGAAGGAGCGCTGGTGCTATGTCAGGGTTGCTGAGAACCCATTCCCGGCGGAACTTCGGGATCGCTTCCGTCGGCATCTGAAGGTTGGAAATGCCGCCCTCGAAAAAGATGGCCTGGTGATAGCCAAAATCCCGGAGGGTCGCACAAAGCAGGTCTCCATCAAAGACTATACTGTCGACAAGGGATTCTACGCCCTCGGCTTTCGGAGATACCGATTTATTGGGGAAGCGGACGAGAAGTGCCCCATTTTTGCTGAGGCCTTCGGGGGAACAGGAGGTAGTCTACGAGGTTCCCCGGTTTTCATATCTTAGCACATAGCTTATTTTGCTCGTGTGTTTTTTTTATTCCTTGTGCCTTCGGTCAGTAACCCCTCGATTTTAACCCCATACTTTTTTTTGCAGGTGTCCCAGTGAAAATGATGAACGTCAGAGGCCTTGCAGACCTGAAGAAGAAAAAACCCTCCAAGGGCCCGAGGGGGACGGACGCCGATGTCCCAAAACCCGCCGGTGACTTCTTCAAAAGACCGGAGGGGCCGTCGGTGGGCCCAAGTGCTGATGCTGCCGCTGCTGCCAAAAGGAAGGGCTCGGGCAGAGATCCCGAGGGCAAGAAGCCCAAGACTGGGGATGCCGGGAAGAAAGTCCCCCCGGTGATCATTGTTGATGAAGGCCCTGCCTCTGGGGCGAATGAGGAAATGCAGGTGGCGAAAGTGCCGCCGGGAGTTCAGGGGCCATCTTCCGAGGTCCTCATGGTTTCCCTCCCGGCTGGTACGGCCGTGATGAACGGTACGGCCGACCCGAGGGCGCTTCTGAGAGGCATCACCCTCGAGATTGACAGAGTAGCCCTCGGGGCTGATGAAGACGAAGCCCTCGAGGACAGGATCCTCCGGTCTTCCCTCAGAGTAAGTCTTTTATGTTTACATCTCTCTTTTTTACTTCGAGCTAAGAAACCATGTTTGGCCTCGCTAACCCCTTTGTTTTTGTAGACCTGCATTGCCCTCGGGGAGCAAGCCCGTCGGCTAGAGGAGTGGCGCCTTCGCAAGGCCGAGCAGGAGGCCAAGAT